GTTCCCCTGGTCCCATCGCTCTCAGTGCCCCCCGCCCCCCGGCCGCAGTGCTCCCAGCGACTCCGCTCAGAGGCCCCTCAGAGAGTTGGGCACCTGCTGGAGCCCTGGCCAGCTCCTTCCCCGCTGCTGCTGTGGGCGCCTCCTGTGTTCAGCCCGCACGGTTCCTCCCCGTTGCCTGAGAGGTTTAATAGCTCCCCCGCAAAGCGTTTTGCCGGCAGCTGAGCCTGGCGCTCCCCAGCCCTGCTACATGCCCCATTCCCCTTCTGCACAAGGAAGCCCCCACCCCAATCCCGAGCACTCGGCTGGGTCCCCCCATTCCATCCGGAGTTGTGTGTTTATCTATTTTTCCTTTCTTGCTGGTTGCTCTGGGGGCTTTTGGCCCATTTATCCAGAATTAAGCTCTCTGATTTTAATTTGCTGGCATTTGCTTTATCCGTTTGGCTGTGGAGATAAAGCACGGGCTGCCCTTGTTTTCTCGCTGTGCTCCTCCACGCACGGCCCCCTCCCTGCCATATGGTTCGCAGGCACTGGGGAAGGGCACAGTGTTATCCTCTGCTCGAGCATGTGGGGAACCAGCAACAAGGAAGAGCGATGAGCTGCCTCGGGTAAGTGGCAACCGTCCGTTCTCCAAGATTCGAGGCTGTGTGTCTCTGCATGTGGAAACCTCCGTGTGCCTTCTCCCTGGCGCTGCTGAATTCTGCAGTGAGGCAGAGCACACGCTGCAAGAGTTTGTTATGGTTCAGCATCTTCTGGAGCACACAGTTTTTGAAAAAGCTTTGTGGCTGTAAATTGGTGATTAGGTATTTGGGACCAGTTGAGGAACAAGAGAAACTTTACCTTCAGAGGGTGACTTTTGGTGCATTCCCATGAGAGCTGCGGGGTCCTGAGGCATCCCACACTGGTTTAGCCTCTGGTCGTCATGAAAATGACCACTTGTTTCTGGTGGGTTAATGTCACAGCAAGGTCAGAGGGTAGCCAGATGTTGCGGGCAGCTGCTGGCATCCAGCTGTGCTGGTGATTTGGGGCCATTCTAAATCTGGAGGCAAATTGCAAAGGTTCCGACTCTTTTCTAAGAGGTTCTTTTCAATAGTAATTCTGCTTCTGTGATCCTAGGACTGTATTATTTGGCTCTATTAATTTGAGTATCATTTCCTTCTGAGAACGTCGTATCTCTACTGGCATTCTGCACTATCCCCCCCTTCCCCTGCCCCTTAAAAGCACCTGAAGTTGCAAGGAATGAACTCATGCAAAATGAGTGACCCAGCATAGATTAGGTATAGCAGCATGCAAGCATCTGGGTTTTGAAGATGTCTTCATCTGGAAAAATGCAGAGGGAACATATTAGGAAAAACACTTAGGATCATGAGAACTGGAAAACATTTGCACTTTCAAGGTAGTTGTGCAAGAAGCCCACTTCCAGTAGCTTTGTCTTTATCGATGTCAGTATTTCACAGTCACTCTGAGTGCTCTGCATAGACTAGAAAATGTGCTACTTTTTCATTCTGAAGTTTTCTGGGAAATGCAAACGCTGGCATGCTTCCACCCACTGAGGTGACACATGTATAAAGATGCTGGTCTTGCCTCTTTTTGCTGCCTCCCTTTTCAGGGCCCACATCATGGCCACTCTGTGCTGTGGATTGGGGTCCACAGACTGCTGTGCCTGGTCTCCTGCTTCACCGCGGCCGCCCCGCAGGCTGTGTGTGTCTGGGACAGCGCTCGGGAGAACAGTGGTGTGTGTGTGTGTGGGTGGGGGGCTGCACGGCACGGCGCAGCTCAGCCACTTCCCAGCCATTTGAGGCTGGCGCTTGGATCCCCAGCCTCGCTCCCTCCCTGTGTGCCGGAGGGCAACTCCCCTGCTGACTGGGGGATTATGGGAGTTGCAGTCCATCCCATCCAGCGGGCAGCAGGCTGGAGAAGGCTGTTGTGGAATGGAAGAGCGGAGATCTGCTGGGATGTCTGGGGAGAGGCACCCCCTCCAGCGCCCTGCCTTGCCCCCTCCTGCCCTGACTGGCTCCAGCAGGCGCAGGGCGTTTCCGGGGGTTGCTGCTCTGGGCTTCAGATGAATCAGCTCACATGCTGCATGGCCCCTTCCAACCTTGGGCACCCTTTGAGTGCCCGCCGAGCTCTTCCTGCCAAAATTTTGCCAATCCAAGGGGTATTAATGCAGTGCGGGCTCCCAAAATTCACCCGGATGGGCACTGGTGTTGCTCACTCTGTACAGACACCAGGCCCTGATCAAACTTGCAGCCTTCTTCTGAGCTGGGACCAGAACCTGCATCTGGGTTACAACCTGGAGCATCCTTTCTGAAAGGTCATTTCAGGTAACACATAAGCATGTCTTCATTTACTGCTCAAGATCCCCAGAGACCTTTTATATAGAGAGGTGTTTCAAAGTCCCTTTTCCGAAAGGCCTGTCTCTGGATTTTACGGCCTCTCTAGATTAACGTTCTGCAGTGCAGTGTGGCATTCTTTTTTGGACCCTTTGCCGGCTCTTTACACATGGGCTAGCAAGGGTGATCGGCTAAACAGCCTCCTCCTCTCCTCGCTTGTTTGCTTTTTTCAAGGAGTTTGAGTTAATGGATACTTTTAGAACCAAGCTTTCATTCTCCGGCAGTTTCTAGATCCTTCCCACTGGAGAACTCTCTTATTGCAGGAAAAAAGATGCTGTTGAATCCATTCTAGTGGTAGCTGAAATACAATCTTAATTTTCCCAGCTTGGATGTTTTGCGCCCACAATTTCCTCAGAATGCAGTAGCATGAAAATGTGTTAATTCTTAATGCGACCTGCTAAAGAAATGTACTTCTTAATGAGCCACTTGCTCCAAGGACTGAGTGGCTTCAAGGCTTTCTTTTCAAGACCCTTCCCTGCGGCTTGGAGCCCCAAGAGTTTTTCTCCCCGCAACAGACACTTCTTTGGGGGGGGGGGAATTTATTTCTCCTTCCAATAGAATTTCCAGGGTGGGAGGTGTAACTTCATTCCCTGCTTCCTAAAACACCCATCCTTTACTCAAACTGGGGACAGGGTCGGAGTAAAATATGGGCAAATGCAGCATTAGGAAATGGCGCTGCTTTATTTTCGTGAAAATGGAAGACAGAGAAAAAGAATCGGGCTGTGCCTGCCCTCTGAGCGTAAAAGCAGTTTGAACCCTGACAAATTGTCCGGGCTTGCATTCCCCACATGTGCACATACGTGTGGTACGAGGCCGTAACGGATGCCCAACTCTCAGGGTTGTTGTGAGCATGTGTGTGCAGAGTCTGGAAGAACGGGGACTATACCAAGCGCGAGCATGAGCATCAAGGTACAACGCATCCCTGCACTGGTGCGACAGGTTGGGGTGCACGGTTCAGCTGGGACAGAGCTCAGCAGGATTCCTTTTCAGCAAAATGGAAAAATCGGGGGATCGCCGCACTGCTGGGTCCTAGGTCAGGTGGCCCCCTCCTGCACGATGCCTCCTCCTCCCTCGTCCCGCTTTGCCACGGAGCCGCCTGTGATTGCCGTGGGCGTCTTGAGCATTCTGGGGCTTTGTGCATCAGAGGGGAACTGTCTGTGCCACCGTGGGGCTGGGCCACTGGCACAGCTCTGTGTGAAGGGCCAGCCAGTGAGGCCCACCCTCGAAATGGGCAGCCCCGTCATGGCTCAGGGACTGGGCAAGGGGCACAACGGCTCTCCCTCCCATCCCTTCCGAGGCAATCCCCTCTCCTGGCCAGCGGGGAGGCTGGGGGCAGGGAGCATGGGAGGCTGGGCCTGCGACGGGAGCGGACCGTCTTCTGGCAGGCCCAGAGCAGGCATGTCTCCTGGATTAGGGATCCCCGGGGCTTCTCGGCCACACGCCCCTGTTTCAGGTCAGCTGTGTTGCGCCGGGGTGAGGCCGTGATCCTGCTCTCCTCCCACAGGAGAGGGGAGGTGTGGGGTGGCCCCACGGGAGGGGCCTGCCCAGGAGGCAGAGAGTGTGGCCCCCCGGGGCCTTCTCCGGCAGAAGCCCCCTTGCGAGGCGTGCAGCAGCTCTCCCCACGCGGCCGAGCTCCTGTGCTTCATGCGCCGGTGGCTGCGGCAGGGAGGAGGCAGAGGTCTGCCCGGCTCGGGCGTCCCAGGGGCCTGCCCTTGCACAGGGCTCTAGGGCAGAGTCCCCGGCCGATCCCCCCGGCCGCTCGCTGGTCTGGCTGGGGCAGCCGCTGCCACGCACCGAGCCAGCCCTGCCCCGCCGCCCCACAGCACCCTCCTCTCCCTCAAGTGCTTCTTGGCCAGAACCGTCCCTGCGGGATGAAGGGCAAAAGCCACTTGATCGGCGTGTATAAAATTACCTGCGCAAGGAATGTGCCGCCTTCCCGGCTGCCAGAGAGGCGCATTGCGGTGTCCGCCCCCCCCCCCCCGGGATCCTGGCAGGCCTGGCCTGCTCCAAGTCAGAGCTGTCGCAGTGAAGCCGAAGGGACCGGGCTCCCCCTGCCTGAAGGGACTCGCCCTCCCTCCTGCTCTTGGCAGGGGGAACGAAGGTGATCCAAGCAGATGGCAGTGGGGGGGGATTAGGGGGGGGCGGGAGGGCACCCCATCGAACACCGGAGGCATGCAGTGCTGCGGGCCCCCTGGCACTGGGCTGCACCCAGTGCCGGAGGAGCCCCACAGCCCGAGGCGGCCCAGCGCCCTTGCATGGGCCGCGGGGCTGGTGTGCTTGGGGCACCCCGTGGACCAACCGCAGCCCAGCGTGCTCGGCGGGGTGGGCTGCAGGGCGCTGAGATGCTGATTTTGCTGTCAGGCGGCAGGGAGGAGTAGACACCCTCTGGGAGCTCAGCTTTAAAAATACTCTCTGCTCCGCAGGCCAGAAATTACACTGTCACACACACTGGCAGCAGCAGCAGGCAGGCAGGCCCAGGAAGCCGACTGCGCTTCCCACACGGGAGAAAGCGTAGTCAGCCAGAGGCAGGGAGGGCTCGGGCCGGAGACAGAGCGGCGCGGAGGGGGCGCGCCCCGCGCCCGGAGCCTCACGCACCGCCATGTTCCCCAGGATCTTCATCCCCAGGAAGCACCGGCAGCGCTTCGACGAAGTGGTGTCCCAGGGCCTCATCGGCAAGCTGTGCCGCGCCAAGGGCGAGCGCTCGGCCGGGCGGCTGAGGCGCAGCCGCAGCGAGGACCACCACGAGCGCCTGCTCGCCTCCACCCGGGCCAGCTCGGTGCCCCGCAGCCGCGAGCAGCGCGGCGGCAAGAGCCTGCGGAAGAGCGCCTCGCCGGCGGCCGGCAGCGCGGGGCCCGGCGCGCCGCGCAGGTAAGTCAGCCCGCCCCAGGCAGGCGACCTCGAGGCGTGGGGCCGCTGCAGCTGCGTCCCCCCGCTGGCCGGCAGAGGAACGGGGGGGGGGGGCACAGCCAAGCCAGCCGCGCTGCGCTGCGCCTCATTTCGCAGGTGCACGGGTCACTCCCCAGTACCAGCTGCCCTGCCCTCACATGTTAACCCCCTCTGAACAGGTAGTAAAACGTGAAGAGACGGGGCCGCAAAACAAAACGCATGGCTGGGCAGGGGACCCTGTGCCCCCTCCCTCCCGCCCTGCCTGCTTCCCAGCCACGAATTCGTCCTTGGCTTCCGGGTCCTGTGCCACCCCAGGCCCCCTCTCAATGGTGGAACGGTTCCCCGTAAGGCTGCGCTACTGGCAGTGATCGCCCCCGGGCACCCCAGAACTTGGAGGATCGCTGGCAGCAGCGGAGGGCTCGGGGTGTGGACCGTCTCCGCACTTCCCTGCTCTCCAAAACACTCAGACGGAGAACTCGGCCCTCGACACGTGCAGAGGAGGGGCCGAGACACGGTGGGGGCTCCTCGCTGCCCCAGCCTTTCGGAGCCACAGCAGGCAAGGGCAGAGCTGCACGGCTGTGAAGGCAATACCCATGTTTATTTATCTTAATATTTCCTTATTTGCCTTAACGTTTATCTACCAGCAAATTCCCATAGGCTCTGGGCAGTTTGTAAGAAATTAAACCAACAGTGAGTAATTTTGACTAATAAAACATTATTAGTCAACGTTATAATAAATCTGACATGAGAACTGCCAGAAAAAGGTGTGATCTGGGCAATCAGATTCCTCTTTCCCGATGAATCATTCCACAGCTGAGCCCTCAGGCCAGCTGACACTAATCTTGCAGGAGCAGAATTCGGAAGGCTACCCCAGAGGTAAAGCGGGACGCCTGGGCGACGCTAAGGCAGGCCTGACGGGTGCGGGCGCAACTGCCTCTTGACGGCCTCCAGGGTGGGAGGCCTGCCCAGCTCACGGCCTCCTTTGCCCTCCTGCCCTCACAGTCAGGAAGCTCTTCCTGATGTCCACTGGAACCTGGTCCTGCCGCTTGAGCCCGTCATCCCGGGTCCTGCACTCTGGGTGATCGAGAAGAAGTCCTGGCCTCCGGTGCGGCAGCCTCGCCAGTGTCTGCAAAGGGCTGTCCTGCCTCCCCTCAGGCTCCTCTTCCCGATGCCCAGCTCTTTCCATCTCTCCTCGCGGGGCTTCCCCTGAACTTTTTCCCGTTTGCCTGCACCTTTCTTGAAGTGTGGTGCCCAGGGCTCAATGGGCAAAGTTGGACCCAGTACTCAAGCCTAAACAGATCAAGGGGCCCAAGTACCTCATGTGATCTGGAAATACATGCAGCCCCAAATAGCATTCCCCCCCCCTTTTTTTTTTTGCAACCACATCACATTTCTGGCTCATTTTCAGCTTCATCTACAGCAATCCAAGATCCTTCTCGCTTACATTATTGTTGAGCCAAGTGGCCCCCCCTTGCAATGTGCATTTGCTTCCCTTTAGCCGGGTTCAGACCGTGGCCTGCGTCCCTCCTGAGTCTCATCCTGCTGTGCTCAGCCCAGTGCGGCCGCTGTCAAGGTCCCTTTGAATGTTGCTTCTGCCTCCCAAGGTATCAGTGCTCCCACCCACTTTGGTCTCCCCAGCAGACTTAATCAGCATTACCTGCACCTCCCCTTCCGGGAACGGATGTCAGGCGAGCTAGTCTGAAGTCCTCTGGATCCTCCCTTTTCCTCTTTTGAAGCCAGCAGCATTCGCCCTTCTCCAGCCACCTGGCACTGCACCTGTCCTCCAGGATTGCTCAGAGATAAGAGAAAGTGGTTCCAAGAGTTCTCCTGCCAGGCCCTTGATTTCATGGAGATAGAGAAACAGAGCGAGTCAGAAGGGACCTCCCTGGCCAGCTAGTCTGACCCCCGGCTCCGGCCAGCTTGGCTCATGTAATGCCCGGCACATGGTTGTCCAATCTTTCTCTGGGACGCAGCTCACCAGGCCCCGCAGATCTGAAATGATCCAACATAATTAGGTGTTTTCGACTATTTGCTCATGAATCTCAAGACTCAGTCCTGACCCTGCAGTTTCTATTTCATCCTTGCCTTTGTACCACAGACAAGCTCTTGGGAGAAGACTGACCCACAGTAGGAACTGAGCACTTCCGTCTTTCCTTTGCCTTCTGTGATTGAGTTGCCCTCCCTCACTGAGCAGCTGAACCACCATTTCTCTCTTGCCTTTACTGGAAAAAACCAAACGAAACTTTTTTGTTGCTTCTAGCCTCCCTCGCTCGCCTCAGCTCATTCACCTCCTTGGCCCTCCTGAGCCGACGCCTGCCCTTCCGTGCCACCACTCGGCCCTCTTCTTTGGTCACCTGGCCTCCTTCCTATCACACTCAGGTGTTACATTAATGCAGTTTCAGAAGGCTCACCGTGGCCATGATATTTTGGAAAAAAGCATTTGCCCATTTCCACACCTCTTAGACAGTTTATGGGAGGTTCATACATGCGTGGCCTGCATCCCGAAGGCGGGTCAGGCGAGCGAGCTGTGCTCGCCTGCCCGTGAACGGCCGGGCCTGCAGGTGAGCACCTGTTGCCACGCGGGCTTTGCGCAGTGCTGCGCCCGCGTGGCGGCCCAGGAGGGCGGGCAGCTGCAGGGTCTCGCGGCCGGCCCACCAGCCGCACCCAACCGAGGCCCCACGCACGCGGGACACGGAGATCTGCTTATTGCCCAGCACGCTCGCTGCTCCCAAGGGCCCACCCGGGCCGGGCCCCGGCCCCCTCCCCGGCCCGGCCGGAGCAGCCGACGGGGAGGATGTGGAGACGGCCCCCCCCCCGGTCCCTGGGAACCGGGCCGAGAGCCCGCACGCTCGGCAGGCTCAGACGTGGGACACTCAGCTCCGCTTGGCCCCACCAGCGCCAGGGCTCGTGACGTGCTCTCTCCCCTAGGACCGTCCGCGTCTACAAGGGCAGCAGGAGCTTCGGCTTTACGCTGCGTGGACACGCCCCCGTGTGGATCGAGTCGGTCCTGCCCGGTAAGGAGCGCTACGAGTCCCTGCACAGCATGGGCAACGCTTTCCGTTCAGTTCAGTTCAGCAGTGTGGCCTGAAGTCCCGCTTCCTTTTGTTTTCGTTGAACAACTTGGGTTCTTTGCTTGCCCTACTGTCGCTCTTCACTCATGGCGTGAGTTTTTATTTATTTATTTGGCATTTTCTGCCAAATTGGCCCAAGGGCCCTCTAAGTGGGTTGCAACCTGGGTTGCTGCAAAATGCAACTCAGCCACACTAAGAAGCCATTCATGAACAAACTAGAAAGAGAATCCAGATTCTGAACTCTGGTCTGCTTAAGCCAGGGATCCTCACATTTTTTGAATGGGGGCCAGTTGAAAGGCTGCAGTGACTGTTGCTGGCCGGCGAGGTGGGTGCCTGGGGCCACGGGCCGGCGAGGTGCCGTTGGGCGCGTGCGAGGCGGCACTGGGCACGCACGGCAGTTGCTCGCTCGCTCGGAGGTCTCCCAGCGAGTCCATAAAATAAATAAATAATAAATAACCCTCTCCGAGCGAGCGAGCCACCACTTCCCCGCCCGCGCTGCGAGGCAGTGGCGAGCGTGCACACACCGGAGGCAGGAGGCAGCGGCAGCTCGCTCGCTCGCTCGCTCGCTCGCTCGCTCGGAGACCATCTCCAACTGAGCAAGCCGCCACCTCCCCATGGGTGGCAAACCGCAGCACGGGCCGGATGGATGGCCATGGTGGGCCAGATACGTCCCTTGGGCCGTAGTTTGAGGACCCATGGTTTAAGCCATGTTTAGTTATGTGTGAACCCAGAACCATGGGTCGTTCATGGACTGTTTCTCCAGGAGACAAAAGCAGCAGAGAAGAGTGGTAAAAAAAACCTGCCCAGTTGTTCTGCAAGCCAGTACTACAGTACCCCAAAGACATGTGGGATAGAAGGAAGGAGTGGGTGAAGGAGGAGGAAAACAAACCATGGTTTATTTGACTGTCTGCCAGAAAGCTTCTCCTGGAGGACCACAAACCATGGGCTAAATAAAACATTATGTGGCAGCACAAGCGGGGGGGGGGGGATTGTGAGGGCCAGCAGTGCCCCTGCTGTTGAGCTGGAGGGTTGCAGTGGACAAGGCCTGTGTGGGGCCTGCTGTGGGAGGCCCCTGCTGCATTTGATGCGAGAAAGGGGGAGTGCTGGAACGCCTCGCCTCAGAGGCAAGCTTCTGTGGGGTGAAGGGAGAGAATCTGAGGGGAGGACTTCAGCAGCAAACCTTGCCCCCCAGATCAGGAACAGGCAAGGAGAGGCCTTTGGTGTTCCAGAAAACTCCTCACAGAGGGCAGCAGGGGCTCTCAAGGTAGCCGGAGACAGGCTGGCCCTGTGAGCCGGCCTGCGCGATACATCCGCGTGTGTTACTTTTCCAGGGAGTCCGGCTGACAAAGCGTCTCTGAAGGCCGGGGACCGGATCTTGTTCCTGAATGGCCTGGACATGAGGTAAAGGAGCAACTGCCTGGCTGCGCCTGTGCCTGGAGGGCCGGGATCGCCTCCGGCCCACAAAAAGGAGGGGCCCAGCTTCCTCTCAGCCCCTCCTGTGCCCAGCCAGCTACTCCCTCCAGGTTTCTGCCCTCACGTCTCACAGCTTCTGTCCTCTGCCCTGCAGGAATTGTTCCCATGAGAAGGTTGTTTCCATGCTCCAAGGCAGTGGGGCAATGCCCACCCTTGTGGTTGAAGAAGGCATTGTTAGCTTTTCAGGCGGTAAGATCACAGAAGAGCAGATGGGAGGATTTGGTCCCCTGGGCAAAAGGCGATTCTGTCCTCTGCAAGAGAGAGGGCAGGGCACGTCCCTCCCCTCCTCTTGGCCCAGGGTGCCCAAGCTGGGGACCCTGGTGGCTGCGCCTCTCCAGAAGGCTCACAGGGCTGTGCCTTTGCCAACGTCTAGGCTCTGGGGAGTTTGGGAGGCATCTGGGACCCTGCCAGGCAAGGCGTGTGCGGCGGAGTCTGAGGCCAAGCGGCAAGCGGCCGCCACCCTGCTCAGAGCAGCTTGCGGAGCCGGGCAATCGGGCCACTGTGCCCGTTCACGTCACTTGCCTGTCTAGAGAGCACCTCTTGAGAGACCAGGCTTTCTGCGTGCCAGGCGCTTGGGAGGGGATCCTGATTCATCACAGTGTGTGACGGACGGTCATGCCAAGGGCTTCCAGAGGATTCAGGTGCCAGTTTCCCACCTTGGCTTAGAAGAACCCACGTGCCTCCGGCATGACCACTGGTTTCTCCGTGTGTGTGTGCAGACTATGCCTCCGTGGAGACCCCTGGCTCCTCCTCCTCCTCCTCCACACTCACCTCCTTGCAGTGGGTGGCAGAGATCTTGCCCTCCAGCATCAAGTTCCAAGGGAGGACGTTCCACCAGCAGCTGGAACATCTGCTCACCCCCGCAGAGCGCTACAGCGTCTGCAAGGCGCTGGAGAGCTTCTTCCAGCACAGGTAGCACGCAGTTGCGCCGCCAGCTCTCCACCCACCCAGAGCCCACCTGAGGTGGGAGCCTGCCCGCACCCTCCGGGCGGCCCCAGAGGGAAGGCTTTGCTTTGGCGGGGGGCAGCGCGGGGGGAGGGGGCTTCTGCCGGGCCCTGCCCTGCGGGAGGCCGGGGGGGGGGGGGCAGAAAGGCCGGGCGCTCCCTGCCCCTCGCCCCGCAGGAACATCGACACCCTCATCGTGGACGCGTACCCGGTCCTGGACACGCCCTCCAAGCAGGTCATCTGGCAGTTCATCTACCAGCTGCTCACCTACGAGGAGCAAGACCACTGCCGGCAGAAGATCTCCAGGTTCCTGGGCTACGAGGCTGCGGCTGGTGAGCAGCGCCGTCCCGGTGGCGGCCCGCCCGGGCGGCCCCGCGCGCGGCCTGGGCGGCCCGGGGGACTCCGTGCGCGGCGCTCCCCTGGGACGAGCTCTGCGGGCACTCTGGCGGCGCCGGGGGCGCCCTGGAGCGGGGCCTGCTCCGCGGGGCTCTTCGGGGGGAAGCTGGCAGCTGCCGCGCCGCAGGGGGAAGGGGCTGGCGGTGCAGCCGGCCCAGCGGGCGCGGGAGAGGGACCGGGGCCCCGGAAAGGGCGCGGGTCTCCCGGACACGTTGCGCCCGCGGTGCCGCGTCCGCTGCGGGCCCCCGTCGCGTCCCCAGCGCTGCCGGCCTCTCCCGCGGCGGGCCGGGCCCAAGGGGCTCCGCAGCCGGTGGCGGGGCGGGGCGGGCCTCGGCGCGGGGCGCAGGACGCAGCGCCTCTGGCGCACGTGTCCCCCGCAGCCGCTGCGCCCTTTGCGGGGCTGCGGGCGCCGCGCCCCGGCCGGCCAATGCCGAAGGAAGGGGTCCCGTCTGGAGCAGCCAGGGCCCCAAGGAGCAGCTCGCGGGGCGGGGACGGGAAGGGCGCTTGCAAGGACCGGGCTCAGCGGGCCGCGCGGGAGAGGCACGGGGCTCTGCTCGCCCGCGTCGCGAGGAAATCGGGAACGGGGAGCAGGGCGCCTTGAGGAGAAGGTCTAAACCGAGGAGCGTCGGAAGAAGGAGTGTTGCCTGAAAGGTCGCACGAGGAAACGGCGGTAGAGGCGCAGGGCAACGCTTCTGCGCCACTGGAGTTTATTCACAGGGGGAGCTGGTTTTGCAGACGAATGCAAGCCTCACGGGTTGGCGCTCTTTGTCTGTAACGAGCAAAACGACTGGCAACTGCACTGGGACGGGGGCGGGAGAGGTTTGCAGCCCTGCCTTGGGGGCAGCCGCAGCTCACCGGTCTGGCCTGAGGATGCCGGACGGGGCCCGGGGCTCGCGGCCCGGGGCTCGCAAGAGGAAGCCTGGCAGCAGCTTCCCCGCAGAGGAGGGGGTGCGTCTGAGGTTTTGGAAGCCGCTGGAGGCTTTTTGCGAATGGGGCGGCATATAAATGTTCCAAACAAATGAACAGGGCGGCGCCTCTCCTGTTCCTTGCAGCCACAGCTGAGCCAGAGGGAGAGGACTGCCGCCACAGCTCTGCACAGACAGCCCCAGCCAGCAGGAGAAGCATCTGCGCCCGCAGCCCTGAGGATGGTGGAACGGGAGGTAGACCAGGCAGGGGGGTGGGCGCTGCCCCCTCCCTTGCTGTAGCTGCCGGCATGTGCACAGCCCTCCCGGTCATCCCTCAGGATGCCGTCACGACTCCTTGCGGCTGGCTCCCTTTCGGGAGACTCGAGGGTGGAGGGGGGCCAGAGCGCCACGCATGTGGCGAGCCCAGGGCTGCTTGCAGTGTGCACTTCTCCGGCCAAGTGTCCGGAGCCTCTGCAGCGGCCTTCCCCAGCCTGCTGTCTGCATTCGCTGTGGCGCATGTGTGGCGTCGCTCTGGCTTCCCCCCGTTGTTGACCATGCCGGCCAGAACACGCAGAGGGCTCCAGGTCAGGAAGGCCCGGGGTGGGACCATGGCCGCCAGAAGGGCTGGGCCATCTGCAGACACCTGACTTGCTCTCATGCCCAGCTTCTAACAGCAAGACCCCCCCCCCCGCCCCCCCAAGTGGATTCCTCGCGTATTCCTACTTTGTGATATGGAGAGAGATGGCAGAGGTCCATAGCAAAAGAGCCTCATCCAGTTAGGAAGAGATTACTGCTCATATCAAGAAGTGGATTCCAAATGGAATCCCCCACCAAACAGAGCTAGCTCCCCCCTCGGGAAGGTCTCCACCCCGTGTAGGACAGACCCTGGGAATGCTGGACGTTGTGCTGGTGGCCTGCTCACTTGATTTGATGGTGGCAGCGGAAGCAATTCTGTGCATCCCTCCGCCTGCCTGCCTGCCCGCCCAGCCGTGTCTGCCCCAGCGGCTCGCCTCTCACCAGCCCTCAGCCTCTTGGCGCACACCGGCCTTGGCAGAAGCCTGACGGGGTCTCTGCTTGCAGTTCAGATCCTGGCTGGGCTACGTGGAGAATGGCCAAGGGCCACACAGGGGCTGCGGCTTGCCCACCGCTGCAGGAGGGGTTGGGCTGCCCTTGCACAATCGTTGGGTCAGGATTGGCCCTTGAGTGTGTGCAGGTCCGTGCCCAGACTGACCCCACAGGGGCTGTGCCACCCTCCGGCCTGGGCCACAAGTGGGGCTCGCAGGCAGGCAGGCAGGCAGGCAGGCACCCACCCACCTCTCTCCCCAACAGGTTCCAGAGAAACTGCTGAGGGGCCAGCCCACTTAGCTCCCGGGGAGAGGCAAGCAGGGGATGGGACCTCCCTCCCAGAGACCCCCAACCCTAAAATGGTGAGCCATGCTGGGAGGGGTGGGCTGGCACACGGCAGGTAAGGGGCAGCCTGCGGAGAGGGGTGGCCTGCCGCTGACCGCACTGGGATGGCGGCCTGCTTCCTCCCGCCAGATGTCAGCTGTCTATGCAGAGCTGGAGACCCGCCTGACCTCCGGCTTTGGAGGGAAGCTGAGCTGCTTAGCTGCACACCAGGCATCTCCCTCAGTTCCAGATCAAGCGAACCCAGCAGGTAAAAGCCCGTGCTCAGCATCTTAGCAGAGCCGTCAGACAGACTGTCTGGCAGGGGGTGGGGTGGGGTTGGTGGACAGACTGATGCAGAGCTGAACCATTGGGCCCAGAACAAACACTGGAGGTGGGATTCGGAAGCCAAGCTTCAGGTTGATGCTCTTCTGCTGACCTTGTGGTACATTGGGGCAGAAGGACCCAAGTTACGGAAGGAAGTAAGCGTGGGCATACCTTCCAAGGGTGTTCAGACCAGAGCCCAATAAATCCCACTTTTTAGATTCTCTCCTCAAAGGCCAGGTACCTGCAATGCTCATCTGAGCCACCAGACAAGAGGGGGCGTCCTGCAAACTTACTGAACGGTCCAACAGGGATGACCTGGAAGCCGTTCATGTGAATACGTCCGTCTCAGAGCAGCGCATTGATCTGCATGCAAAGCACACAACCAGGACTCGTGCCCCGGACCGCTTGCTGCTGGGTGGTGGGACGCTCCCCCCGCCAGGCCGTTTGCTGGCTCGGCCTGCGACGCCTGCGTTCACGCTGCACTCGGCTGCCAGTGGAGTCGCCCTGTGTCCCTGGGACCGTGCGGCAGCGCCCTCAACGCACTGGGGGGCATCCTGTGGCACCTCCCTGGTTCTGGCAGCAATGGCTTTCCGGGCCACAGCTGGCTTGTGTGGGCATCCGGCAGGCACCTGGCTGGCCGTGGCAAGTCCCGGGGTGCGCGCAGACCCCGGCTTCCCACCTGGCCCCCTTTTGTACCTGCTGCAGGTGTGTGGAAGGCAGGACCAGCCCTCTCCTGGAAAAAGGATGCCTCCCCCGCCCAGGCATGCCTGTACCACGCGTACGGAGGCCTCCCTTCCCCGAGCAGTACTGAATCCAACCCCTACGTCAGCCTGGACAGCAGCCCGGCCCTTTCCCCAAAGTACGCCGGCCGCCGGCTCAGCCCGCCCTCCCGGAGGAAGAAGCTCTTCACGTTCTCACGCCCGCCACGCAGCCAGGACACAGACCGCTTCCTGACCGTGCTGAGCGAGCAGCTGGGGCACCACATCGCTGTTTCCGACGAGTTCCTGACGCCCGAGAACGACTACGAGGAGGTGAGGGGCTGCGGATCCTTAGCAGGAAGTGCTGAGGCGGTCGCCTCTCCTGGGGGCTCACACTCCAGCTGGGAAGGCGGGCCCTGTCCCACGTGGCGGGTTAGGGAGCTGCTAAAAGAGGCCAGGAGGAGCGATCCTCATGTGGAGCCCGGCCAGCGGCTGCGGTGGGACCCCCTTCAGGCCTCAGCCCTGCCCTCCCGCCTGTCCCTGCAGATGAGTTTCCACGAGGACCAGGGCAGCTACGTCGCCAACGACCTCAGCAGTGCCAGCGAGGACCTGAGCAGCAGCGAGGGCAGCTCCCTGACCTACTCCACCCTGTCGGACCACGTCCCGCCGCCGCCCATCAGCCTGCCCCCACCGCCACCCTCCCCTCCACCGCAGTTTCATGATCCCAGGGCGGGGAGCAGGGCCCCGGAGCCCCTGGGGAGCCCCCGCTCCGCACCTCCCCAACCCAGCACCCCCTCCAGCCACAGTGACCCGGCCCTCCCACCCCTGCCGCCTCCCCCGCCGCCTCCCCCACCAGTGCCATGTGCCCCCCCCCCAGCGCCTCGCGGCATCATGCATCGCCGGAGCGAGTCCAGCCACATGAGCGTCAAGCGGCTGCGCTGGGAGCAGGTGGAGAATTCCGAAGGCACCATCTGGGGTCAGGTACGTTGCGGGGCGGCCGAGGCCACCTTCCTTCAGGGAGGTGCGGACGGCCTCCTTCGCCCCCCCCCCCCGGCTGCTCCTCCCATTCTCCTGCCTCCCCGCTCCACCTGAGGGAGACGCTTGCAAAACTCTCGCAAAACGTGCCCGTTCCTGCACAAAGCTCAGCCCAGCCAGTCGCGCTGCGGCCTCTTCGTTACCTGGAGTTTCTCCCACGCCCACTGGCCCCAGCCCACGTGCGGCTCGTGCGACTCGTCCTGCTGCATGTTAGTTCAGATGGGGGTGCCATAATGTGGCACTGGGGGACCCGCTCCGCCTGCGCCGGCTGCTCTCTCTGCAGCTGCCTTCGCCGTGCAAGCGCCACCCTGCCTTGGCCGCCCTCTGTCGCACGCACGTCTTGCAGCCGTGGTTCCACCCGGTGGCAGCGTGGGTGGGAGTCCGCCAGGTTCCCCCGGCTCAGCTCTCCAGAGGCCAGCCTGCCGCTCCGCGCCAAGCGCTCGTGTGGCGGCCAGCAGGGAGCAGGTCCAGCGAGCCACGAACCGAGCATGCGCACGCACTGCTGCCCGCCCGCCTGCGCGGCACGAGCCAGGCTCTGCTTCCACACACGTGGCTTGTGGGCTGTGAGCCCTCTGCGCACTTTGCACGAGGGAGGGGGCCCCGGGCATTCCTGAGCGTTTGTGCAGCTGATTGCGGATTTTGGCTCAGCTCTTTTCCCGCCCAGGGCTGAGTGTGGGAAGAAGTCCGGGAAGCGCAGGAGGGCCAGATTTCTTCTACTGGGGCACTTCTCCACACTCATGCATGTGTCCTCATTGTCCTCAAAAAAGGGAAAAGGCAGTTGCTTGTCGAATGCGCGCAACGTTCTCCGCTTCGACGGAGAAATGGCAGGCAGGTTCTTCGGTTCTGTGCCGGGTGCCCCTTGCAGCACAGAGGCGCTCTGGCCGTGTGCCTCTTGCCCGGCTGGGATGGGGGAGCCGAGATCCAAGAGTGTGCTGCCCGCCACCCCCCGTGCGATCTGCCATCTTCCCTTGTGCAGCTGGGTGAGGATTCGGACTATGACAAGCTGAGCGACATGGTCAAGTACCTCAACCTGGAGCTGCATTTTGGAACCCAGAAGCCAGCAAGTGAGTCCCCCGTCTCTCTGGGGCTGTGGCACTGGCAGCCGCACCTGGCCGAGGGCGAGCAAGGGCAGCAGTCCGTGGCGTGGCAAGACCGCCGGGGCCCCCTTCCCGGCCTGGGGATGTGTATCGCTTGCACTGCTGCTGCCTGGGGCACTCGGGGCTTGGCCTTTGCTCTGGCACGAGGAGAAGCTTCTTCGCCTCAGCTGAATCCCCACGCAGGGCAGATGTGGGTCTTGTGTGCTGCAGCTTGTGGAGACACAGGAGTTCTTTCCATTTCTCTCTCTGTGTCATTTTATTAAAGTGGGCAAATGCTATTCTGGGAGGCATTAACAGAAGTATTACTTCCCAATCGCGAGAAGTAGCAGCTCCCCCATACCACTGAGGTGCCGTCAGCCGTCATGGCAGAGACCTTCCGCTCCACAAACGCACCTGAAGTGGAGGTCACTGTCCCGGCAGAGACGATGGGCTTGTCTTTCCCACGCTGCCTCCCCAGCCCCAGCCTGCTGGGAGAGCCACCCAGGGAAAGCCTCCGACGTGCTTTCTGGAGGAGAGGACTGCATAGCGCCTTCTTTAATGGGGATGGCTGATGAAATGGCGCCAAGCACATCAGCAGGTCCCACGCTGCTCCAAAAAGAAAATGCTGCGTCCATCTCCATTCCCGGCAGGCGCAGCAGCTGCAGTCCAGGCGGGCTGGCCTGGGGGTTCCGGGCATCAGGGAGTCAAACGTTCCCAGCACGCATCCTTCTGGCACTGCAGCTCCTTCTTTGTCCCACAGGACCATTTGCCCAGCCCCCACTCGTCTTCTGATTGCCCCCTCCCTCTCTTGCACCTTCCTGAAGTCCCTGGAACCTGCTCTTTATCTCTGATTAAATCTTCCAGGTTCTCTTCCAGAGCCAAGCCCCTTGCCAGAGTCTTTCAAAAAGAAAGATGCGGTCGAGATTCTGTCACACAAAAAGGCCTACAATACCTGTGAGTGTGTGCTGTGCTGGCTGGGGGGTGGGCAGAGGCAGGGCCTGGGGCACGGGGAGGATGGGGGCGGGCAGAGGCAGGGCCTGGGGCACGGGGAGGATGGGGGCGGGCAGAGGCAGGGCCTGGGGCAGGGGGAGGACGCGAGGCAGAGGCTGGCCAGGGGCAGCCCCCCCAGGATGCCTCCCTCTCTGCCTTCCTCGTTGGCCCCGCCAGCTTGCCCACCCGGCTGCTTTTTCTGGGCTGGGCCACTGCCCAGCAGACGCTCACCTGTGGGCAGGGAGAAGGGATGCGGCTTGGAGTGCGTGGGAAGCTGCGGCGGCAGTTACGAGGCCCCCTGCCCCTCTGCGGGCGTCCTGGGCCGCTCCTCCCCTCCAGGCCCTCCTCACGTGTCCCAGCCTGGCCCCCTGCACACGCCGGAGCCCCCGCTGAGCCCTGTCCTTCCCTGTCCAGCCATCTTGCTTGCCCACCTCAAGCTCTCCCACGCCGAGCTGCGCAGGACCCTCCTGACCATGGAGAGCAGCCGCCTGGAGGCTGCTCACATCAAGCAGCTCCTCCTCTACGCCCCCGATGCAGAGGAGGTGCGGTGCTACCGCAGCTACCAGGGCAGCCCCGGCAGACTGAGCGAGCCCGACCGGTTTGTCCTGCAGGTGAGTCGGGCCGCCCCCCCCCCCGGGAGTCTCGGCGGGGGGCACCGCGGCCTCCGTGAGCGGCTCACGTGGTCAGGGCCGGCTGGCTCTGTGCTTAAGAAGCCACCGGACGGGCGGGACGCTTCCCCAGCCCTGCCGTCGCCTTCCGCCTCCGCTTTCTGCAGCTGGTGCGCTCCCGCCGCCCTTCCGAGTCAGGCCGGCCCAGCAGGCGGGGACGGGCGGAGTGCGGTGGTCCAGGGCACCCGGCTGGGGAAGGGCTGCCCTTGGCCGCTGCCGGGCGAGGGGCGGCGGGGCAGCTGCGCAGGGCCCGGGCAGCTCGGGGGTCGCGTGCGCCCCCATCCTCTGTGTGCAGGAGGCTCCCCGGCCCCTGAACTGCCCTCCGCGTCAAGAGCAAGGTCGACGTGTGCGGCACAGCGCAGGCCTGCCCCCTCGCTTGCCATGTCCTCCCCGGCGACCCGCTGCCCCAGCCCTTGCACGGGGCGTGGGCTGTGCTGGGAGGAGGCGTCTGCTTCCAGCACTCTGCCCAGGAGGGTCCGGTTTTGCCCCCCGCCCCCATGCTGTGCCGGCCCTTTACGTGGCTCCCCAGCTCTGTTTCACGGGCAAGCCAGTGTCTGGCTGGAAGCTCCCTGGCCCACTGTTTGAAGCTGGCATCCGGCTCTCTTCTTCGTGGCCTGGGAGCATCACGGCAACAGGCCCTGGGCCCGCGAGGAACCTGTCTCGGGGAGGAGTCGATCACAGAGGGTTTTTCGGCGGGACCCCTTTTCCCGCCTGTCCCCTCAGGCCTCCTCGACCGCCGGGTTCAGGGGAGCACAAGAAGGCCCGGAGGAGAAGCCCCGTGGGGAGAGCTGGGACATCTGGGACATGCTTAGCCCAGAGAGGGGAGGAGGACGTCCTCTGGCCAGGAGGAGCGAAGGAGCCGCCTGCTCTGTGTGTCCACGTTGTGCAGGAAATGACAGGGCCTTTTGCAGCCATCTGACACCGAAACAGCTGCTGGCCCCAGGCACCCTGCCGGAATTGTCCCGGGGAGGGTGGCCGCACTGCAGAGGGCAGTCCGGCCAAAGGCCTGGGCAGGCCATGGGAGCAGAGAGAAAAGCAGCTGTGGCTGCGGAAGCTCCTGCTCCTTCTCCACAGCCCTTTAAGACAGAGAGGCGGCTCCCTGGCTCCGTCAGTGTCCTAGTTTGGGAGGCACCACAAGGCCCTTCTTGTCTTTGGATGTTACCCTGCTCCTCTGCAGCAGCCTCTGGAGGCAGCCTTAAACACCGGTCTCGCTCACACTCGGGGTTCCTGGGAGTACGCGGGGCGCTCTGGATACAGGCGCATTGCGTCCGTCCGAGGCAGCCGCATGCTGGTACTCAGAACCCTCTCTTTTCCAGATGCTTTCAGTACCAGAATACACAACCCGGCTGCGCAGCCTTCACTTCAAGAGCACCCTGCAGGAGAAGCTGGAGGAGGTTACTGCCAGCTACGAGTGCATCTACAGTGCCTCCCTGGAACTGAAGAACAGCAAGAAGCTAGCAAAAATCTTAGAGGTCAGAGCAGTTGTCCTTACTTCTCACAGCAGCCACAAGGGGGCAGCCACTCTCCACACAGTGGAGATTTGTGGCTGTGGGTGGGGGGGGAGGGGGCGGGGGAGTGTTTTGTTTCTGTTCACAAATCATGCAAATATGTTCATGCAAATATCCCGAACATGAGTGCTTTTTCCAAGAAAGATTTGCAAATTTCTGAATTTGCAATCATGTTTAAAAACACTGTGCTTCAAAAAAAATGAGCACCTTGAAGCATGTGTTCTCCCATATGCATCTCCATGGTTTTGTGAACAGTGGGGAAGGACACACTTTGGAAAAATACAGACAGAAACGTGTCCTTTTCCTGTTCAAAGCACACACTTTCCCATTCAAACAAGCCCCCAAATGGGTGGAAAAGAAAAATCAGATGCGAGCGGAAAGGAGTGTTGATGTGATTCGAAGCGTTTAGGTGGGCTTGCGCAGTGCGCGTTCTCCCGTCGCTTGTCCTCTGCCATGCAATGTCACATGCTTTTTCTTAGGCCTCTGGACAATTGTTACCTGGCTGTCATCCTGCCAGTCTCCCAGTGTTTCCTCTGGGAACCCAGAAGATCCAGTTTTTTTAAAGGAATAGGACAGATGTGCAATCCCAGTGTGTGGAGTATTCTTTGACGCTGGCACTCACAGCACCGTTATGGGTCAGTTGAGTTTTTGGGGATGATGCTAAGGAAGGTGCAGGCTGAACTCCTTTGCTTGGGCTTTTTTGGTTGACCTTTAATGTATGAGAACATGAACAAAACCCTGCTTTTAAGATGGAGAAAACTGTGGGATTGCAAGGATAGATCGAAGCTGCTCCCTGAATGCACACACGACGCGGGTCCCTGCAGAAAGAGGCTGTGGGTGGCCCTCCCTCCCTCGAGTGCATCCCGGCGGCAGGCATCCTGGCCGCAGTGCCACGCGCATTTGTGAGCGGGTGAAGCGCTGGGACTCACTTCCAAGCAAGCAGGCCTTGCGTGAAGCGGAGCTGTGACTGGAGGGAAGGCGGTGGCTGGGTGGGAAGGAGAGCGGGAGGTGAGAGCTGGTCGGCCTTGAGGACAGAGGACAGCGCATCTCTCTGTACCGGACCATTTGTCCAAAAGGCCATTCGGACAAGATGCGGAGGGTCTCTCCTCTGGCCCCGCTCTCCCTGGTCTGATGGCATGGCCCAGCCCCCTCCTTCCCCTCCGTGCGCGATTTGACCCAAGAGCCCTTTAGGCCACCAGGCCTTCCATTTCTGTGGATCGGGCTGCACCAGGACGCATTCCAAAGCGTGTGAATGAGTGCGCGGCGCTTGAACTTCCTGCTGCAAGCAATCCGCCGTCCTTCAGCAATGCGGTTCCTGGCAAAAGGCTGACGCATACCGAGCGCAATCCCAGGTTATCATTGCGAAGCATTCAGAGAGCAGCCAAGAGAAGGCGGAACTGGCAAGGAGCCAGGCACCTTCACGACCTCCCGGGCAGGCCTTGCTCATGCCCCCCCGCCTCCCATTGGCCCCGCACCCGCAGCTGCCTTCTGCTCCCTCTCGACTGGATGCCCCACCGTGCGCGACCTGCAGGGATCCTCCGGATCTCTGGCCCCCACCCTCTGGGGCAGTGGGCCAGGATGACCCGGGGCCCCATCTGGCTGCTGGCCGGAGCTGAAGCTGCACTCACTGATATCACGCGTCGATGGTGCCTTCTGGCTGTGCAGGTTTCTGACAAAATGCTGCGGCTAACTGACCCCACCCAGGTGCGGGATCAAACCCAGACACCTCCTGCGATGCCCAGGTTGCATCTCATCGTCAGCAAGGCAGCAGAAAAGCACGTCCTGACAGGCGGGCTTGGCTGGGACAGACTTTTCTCCTCCTCACCGGGAGAATGCCGTGCTCCACGCAGAGCTGCAGCGTCTCTCCCGCCCGCCTCCCCCACAACCCGCACATGCCTTTCCAGCAGCGGCTGATACACAGCCGTGTCGCTCCTCATTTTGTGGGCACCTGCACCAGCCCAGCTAATTGGCTGAAGGGCCTCACCTGCTTCTCAGAGGTTTCCTGCACCCTGTTGCCTTCAGCTCATGAGGGGCTGCTATCCGGACTTCCTCTTCTGACGTCTCTCCCAGTAGCCCGGCTGGTCCCCACTAAAGCAAGCAAGGGAAAGCTAAAGGTCCCCTGCTAAGATGGCTGCCACTGCAAAAACGGAGCGCATGAGCGAGAGCGCCACTCCGGAGGTGGAACTGCGTGTCATCCATCTCTTGAGGCTTCCTCTTGCGCCCGGCCCTGCCTTCGAAGGGGAGCCACGCCGAGAGGAAGCCTGCGAACATTGTCTGAACGGGCTGTGCAACTGGCACCATTTTTCCATGTCGTGTGCTCCATCATGTGCAGCACAAACAAAGGCTGCGGCACGTGACATGGAAGAGGGGCGCTGCTGCACAGGGTTTGCACTGGCTGTGCGAATGATGGAAGCCCTTGCCAGGAACCCGCACTCATGATTGCGGGAAAGTGGCCCGCTGTCTGGGGAGCTGAGCCCAGGGACGGACGGGGGGACAGACGGACTCCCATGCCAAAACGGATTTCCCGCACAGGCCTGCTTGGGGGTGATCGGTGGTCCTCAGGCCCTGCAGTGAACGCCCAGGCCGAGATCCATTTTAGTCTGGCTTCAGGCCTAGTCATGAGACAGAGACTGCTTTGGTTGTTTTGCTGGACTTGGATGGGAGAGCTTGTCCCTGTTTGGGGGACAGAACCCAAATGCATTGTTGCAAAATGGGGAACCCTGGGCTCAACAATACTGCAAAGGAGAAGGATCTTGGGGTTGTTGCAGATCACAAGCTAAATATGAGCGAAAGAAATGATGTGGCTGCAAAAAGGGCAAATGCTGTTTTGGGCTGCATTATCAGAAGTACCACTTCCAAAACACGCAAAGTAGTAAGCTCCGCTAAGCTCAGCACTAGCCAGGCCTCACCTGGAGTCCTGAGTCTGGTTCTGGGAACTTAAGTTTAAAATAGGAGCAGAAAAGCTAGAAGAAGAGACAGCAAGGGCGATTCCAAGACTGGAGGCAAAGCCCTGCAAGGAAAGTTTGGGAGCCCTGGACATGCTCAGCCTCAGGAGGAGAAGACCGAGAGGTGGAAGCGTGTCACAGAGAGGAAGTGCAAGCACTCTCTTGTCCGTCCCAGAGTGCAGGGCGTGGAAAAATGGACTTAGGTTAAAAGAAAACAGATCTAATCTAGACACCAGGAAGAATTCCCCCAGAGTCCCAGCAGTCCCAGTTACAATGGAACCAATTCCCTGGGGAAGATGTGGGCTCTCCTCGCTGGAGGCATTCAGCAAGCGCCCGGACAGCCATCCAGGAGGGATAACGCGGCTCGGTGTCTCGCACGGAGTGAGGGGCTTGAACCGACAGCCTTTCCTGGCCCCCTTCCCACTCTGCTCTGCTCTCATTCTCTGATTCTGCCAGAGTTCTCCTGCTGCGCAGCGGCACTGACCAAGCTGCCAGTCTGAGACGAGGCGGGGAGGGCCGGTTATGCAGTGACTCTGAGATCGCAGGAAGTTGTGCCGGGGCAGCCTGCCTGGCCACAGCTCTGCGGCACCCCCCAGGGCTTACTCTGAGCTCTCCGTGCTATTAGCACACCCACCGAACTGCTGGGAACCACCTGCAGGTCGGCGCTTTGGCCAGGGTGCGTCGGAGGGGCTTCCCACAGGTGCGTGTGCAGCGGACTGCAGCCTCAGCGCAACTCGGCCATACGGCTAACCGGATCTTCACGCTGAAGATTGGCACAGCTCTCCCATGTGCGGGAGAGCCCCGGGAGGGCAAACAATGCATGGGAAGCCCTTTGGAGGGGAAAGGGCGGCATGCCTCGCCCCACAAAATCCCACCTCCAGGGGCAGCCCCGGGCAATGCCTCCCTGCCCTGGCCCGCTGCGTGCCGTTTGCTCCTTGGAGCACGGCAGGAGGCAGCCAGGAGTCTTCCAAGCACGGCCTGGCGCCGGCGACAAGCCGGAGAGTGCCTGGGTCGCAGCACAGTCCCACGCTGGCTGCCGATTAACCCGGCGGTGCAAACGGAGCGTGCTGGGGGAGAGCCGCCCCGGGCTGGAGCGAGCCTCGACACCTTCATGCCCCGTGAGCGGGGAAGGGCTTAGCTCCGGCCGCAGAGCAGCTCAGGCTCGGCCGTGGCTCTGGGGACACGTGGCCGGAGGCCTTGAGCTGCCGGGGTGCTTTCCGTGCCTCTGCGTGACTGCCGAGTCGGTGTCCCAGGCCGGGCCCGGCTCGGCTCATGTGCCTCGTGCCCAGGCAGCAGGTGGTAGCCCCCTTAGCTCTGGGGCATGCCGGGACCAGAAGCCCTCTGAGCGGAGCGGCAGGAGGCTCCTGGGCCCCCTCCACCCCCCTGAGCGGCAGCCTTGGTCCCACGCCACCTTCTCTTGCAGCCCGCACTCGCTGGGGTGCCTGCCGGCGGTTTGCTTGCCAAGCCTCCTCTGGGATGCCCTCCCTGCACCCGTAGCCCGAGGCGGCCTGGGCTGAGCAGGCTGGCATGGAAGGCCAGGGGGCTGGACTGGGCGGGCTCAGTGCCCCACGGCAGGCCCAGCAACCCCAGAGACATGCCCTGGAGGTGCTGCCCGATGCAGCTGCGCCTGTTGGTGGGCTGGGCAGGTCCTGCAGGGCAGCCACGGCGTCCTGCCAGCAGCGCCTGCCTCCCTTGGCTCCCTGGCTCCGCGCGATGCACAGGGCCGCTTGGGCGAGAGCCTGAGGAAGAGGGAGGAGCCGCCCCGGTTCACTCAGGGCAGTTCACGGTTCACTCTCCGCAGTTCGTGCTGGCCATGGGGAACTACCTGAACCACGGGCAGCCAAAGACCAACAAAACAACCAGCTTCAAGATCAACTTCCTCACGGAGGTAAGTCAGCGCCCTCCTCGAGGCCATGCACGGCCCGCAAAGGCCCAAGGAAGGACCTTGTGTCCGGTGTCCCACCTCATTCTGAACCAGGAAGGCAGTCTGCCGGCATTTGCAAAAGCGAAGCGTCCAGAAACGTCCAGGGCCACTGAATGTGATGCTTTCATGCACGTCCAGCAGCCTTCCCCGGTCTGGGATTCCCCAGCTGCGCAGGACTGCAGCTCCTGGGGTTCCTGGCCAGGGTGGGCGTGAGGCGAGCCACAGGCCCTCCCACGTGGCGGGCACTGGGCAGCAAAGTGTGGTCTGGGGTTGCCCCCAGGGTGCTGCCCAGCGGAGTTCCTGCAGCCGCTCACCCGGTTGCTGAGCTTCTGCCCAGACCTTTGCCCCGGCTCCTGACACCTCCCGGGCGCCCTGCCAGCTGCACGCTTCTGGGCCGGGGAGGGGGCCGCGAGAGCCGAGCCCTCCGTGGGGCGAGTCCACGGCGCTTCCCGGCAAGTGCCCACGAGTCCTGGTGGCCCTGAGGGTCCGCACTGCTCTGCTCTGCCCAGCTCAACACCACCAAGACTGTGGACGGCAGATCCACCTTCCTGCACGTTCTTGCCAAATCCCTCAGCCAACATTTCCCGGAACTGCTGGGCTTTGCCAAGGACTTGCCCACAGTGCCACATGCTGCCAAAGGTAAGCTCTGGTGTGTGTTTGTGGGGGGGCACTGAAGCTTTCCCAGCAATCCGCACAGCACTGGGCGGAAGTCGAAGAGCAGCTGCTGTGATGGAGGAGACTGCGGGGGGGGGGGGCTGGGGGGATGGGGGCCCGTGCCTGCCTGCCCCTACCCCACGGAGGGGTGTGCAGCGCTCCCGTGTCTCCCTGGGCCCCCCCCCCAGGCTTGCCTGCCCCTGCTTGGGTGCTCCCGGTATCGTGCTGCTCAGCACCACGGACAAGGGGCCTGCATCTCCCATGGACCGGCAGTCGGGATCAGGTTCTCCACCGAGCCGGAGGTCGCGGGGGCAGGTCGGGGCCCAGCCCCGCAGGGGAGCAGCGTGGCTGCAAGGGGGGGGCTGCCCTGGCCCCCCAGCTCCTGCTGCCAGGGGAGGTCCTGTTCTTCTCGGGGTGGCTGCCCAGCTCTCACTCCTTCCTCTCCCCAGTGAACCAGAGGACGCTAACGGCCGACCTCGGTGACCTGCACAGCACCATCGCGGAGATCGAGGCGGCCTGCGAGAGCACCATGCCTTCCCCCGAGGACAGGTTCGCCGCGGTCATGGGCGTATCCTTTGGCTGAGCGCAGAGGCCCCGGCAGGGCTGGCCTCTCGAGGGCGGGAGCTGCTGCTCCTTACGCCCCACCCTGTGCCAGCACCCGGGGCTGCCCGCCCGCGGGAGGGATGTCCATGGGGCGGCCAGCGGTTGGGAGTGGGGCCCGGAGGAGTGGTCTTCCCGTCTCGGGGACCCGGCCTGCGCCCCGGCAGAGGGAGGGCCCTGCAGGAGGTCCCCATTCTCCCAGGAAGCCGAGGGAGGCCGAGGGGCGGTGTGTTGCGTGGGGTCTGCCTCGTGCTGGCGCATGACCGGGGCGCCCGGGTCCCCACCTCCAGGGCACAGTTCCTCCTTAGCCTCCGCCCCAGGCCTTCCTGGCAAGCGCACGGCCCAGCATAGAGGCTCTGCGAGAGCTCGAGCACAGGGCCATGGACGAATTCGGCAGAGTCCTGTCCTTCTTTGGGGAGGATCCGAAAGTCACGACCTCCGAAGCCTTCTTTGGCATCTTTGCCGAGTTCATGAGCAAGTTCGAGGTGAGCTCTGGGGGTTCGTCCAGCTGTTCCGTGTGGCTGCCATTGTCAAGCAGGGGCGCTGAGCATAATTGCATGCTGAGGCGGGAGTGGGGCGGGGGCAGAATTTGGCACGCCTGCGATGCGATTTGACTCTGCATGGAAAGCGCGGCTCCGAGAAAGGCTGGCCAGCGCAGTGGTTGGCTGGCTGGCTGGCGGCTGTGCGGTGGAGTGCGGTGCTTTGCGCTCGGGGTCCACGGCCTTGCGACTGGGCTGGCCACCAGAAGGCCGCCAGGGCCGGCCTCAACGCGGCGGAGGGCTTCAGCCCAGGACGGGGCTGCTGATGCCCACGTGGAACAGAAGCCTACTCTGCGGGATCAGAGCGGCGGCACCCTGCCCCTAGAGGCGCTCCTGAGCTGGCCGGAGAGGGCCACGGCTCCCGTCCAAGGCGTGGGTCGCCGCTCTCTTTCTCGGAGTGCCACAGACCCCACAGAGAGGCTGGAGGCCGCCCGGGTGCTCGTGAGCCCAGGGAGGCGGCTGGGCTCTGCTCGCTTCCTTCCGCACAACCCGAGCGCTGACCTGGGGCCAATCATCTGATCACCTCGTGGAAGGAGCCCCTCCGGGTGGGGCGTGTTGCTTCAGCAACTGAAACCCAGGGATTGTCTGTTGCAAGCCGAAACCATGATTCAGTCGGGAAATGAGGCGGCGTGCCAACTGGCACGGTGCTCCCCCTGGGCAAGCAGCCAGTGGAGGTCAGGGCTGCATTTGGGTATTTTAAAACGGGTGTGTGGCAACAGGAGGCAATGATGGGGGTGGGGCGCGGCAACTCCCAGTTGCTGGGAATACTGGTCCCAGCACCCTCGGTGTGAGTCTGCGCTTGCTTGCTCTGACAGCGCATGGACAGGGCAGAGCGCTGCCCCTCACTCTGCCTTCCTCCCTTCTCTGCCTGCAGCGGGCTTTCAGCGACGTACAGGCTGGCGAGGCCCAGCGCAGCCCCCACGCGACCCCCCCTCTGGCCTGGTGATAGGGGCCTCCTTGCCGGGGTGTGGCATGGTGGTCTCATGGCCCGAGGCCGGCCGTCAATGCAGGCCAGAGGCGCCATCTTGGATCGGGACCTGTCGGAGAATGTGGCCGGATGCTGTTCATTCTGGTGCTGGCGAAGACGCCCCTGAGGAGCTGGACGCGAGGGGGAGGCAGCGGGTGGGCGGCCCTCTGGCTGCCCGGAGGCGCCTCCTGGGGACTGTGCTGCTCTGCATTCCACACGGGCTTCCTGGGGCCCTTGGACCGTGTCCGGAGGGATTTCCGGAGAGTCTCCTCCCTTGTCCTTTTCCAGGAGACACATGTGAGCCCGAGCCCGAGCCCGAGCCCGAGTGGGGGCCCGGTTCACTGGCGCGCGCTGGCTGAGCGGCAGCAGGCAAGATCACCTTACGGGTCCCAGCCTTGCTGAGCCCCTGCCACATCCTCAGCCTTGGCAGGCCTCGGTGCTCCTCTCCCTGACTCCACCCTTGCCCAGCTCTGCATCCTGGTCTCGAGGGGCTGGCCGTGGCCAGCATGTCCAGCTGGTCTTGCTGGAACAACCTGGGTCAGCCAATCCTTCTGGAAAAACGTCCAGGCAGGAAAGCACAACTGGGGATCAGCCCTTTCCCTAGAAAAGGGCTCCTGGAGAAATGGGTGGAGCTGCCACCGCCGCGCATTCTTTCCAGGAAGAAGCAAAACAGCCCCAGCTTCACCCCCCCCCGCCCCACAATGTTCTTTGCATTCTCGTGCCCCAGTAACCAGTTGCCGACTTTTCTACTAAGCCAGGGAGAGGTGGCTTATTTTCCGCCCTCTGATGAGAAGTCAGCACTGCACCGTTGCCTCTTTACAGGTCTGGCAGATTTTTATCGCCCTTCCAAAGCTTGTCAGGCCAGGGCAGCAAAAGGGAGGAGTCCTGTCCAGGGCAGGGACGGCAGGACGTGGCTCCGATGTCTCCTGCCATGGCTGGATGTCTGGGAGGGCAGTGGCGCCTTCCCTGCTTTCTGCTCTGCAGGACGCCCCGTTGCAGGTCAGGCTTGTGCTCCACTGAACCCAGAATTGTCCACGGCTCCCCAGGCGAGAGCTGCTGCAGAAGCCTTGGAGAGCCTCTGAGCCAGAAGCTGCCCCGGGCTCTCCCACTGGCCCCCAGTTCTTGCAACGCTGGAAGAAGCAAACTGCTCCACCCAGCCAGCTCTGCATGACCAGAGGAAGCCTCAGACTCACCACCAAGGCCGTTAACGACCGCAGCCGTGGCTCCGGGCCGTGGCTGTCCTCCTCTCTGTGGCTGCAGAGGATGCCTTCTTTCCCTGCTTCAAGTGCCAGGTCTCCCGCTTCCTTCTGTGGCCGGGCCATGCAGGCTCTTGCTGTGGTTTGTGCCGCGGCCATTCGTTCCAGCTGTTGACAGGCAGCGTGTCCAGCCAGGGCCTTCCGAAATGCTGCACTTTATGCTTGGCTGCCTGGCTTGACTTTCTGTCCTCACCCTGCAAGGCAGCAAGGACCATGCCAGGCCAGCTGCTTTCCAGTTGGAGGCTCGTTTTGGAGGAGTCTTCCAGGGGGGAAACTTCAGGTCTTTCTAGTCAAAGAGCCACCAGTCAAAAGGCTTTGTGCTTCTTGCATCTGCTGCTGCTTGGTGGATCTTTCTCTGGTCAACTGATGGACCAAGTGGGGAAAACATGGACGGACCACGGATAGGAGGAGTCATTACTTGGGCCCCTTGTCAAATCCTAGGAATGAAACCAGGTGATCGCACAATAAAAACCTCACCTGGAAGCACCCTCTGTAGATACATACCCAGCGTCTGTCGGAACGTGTTCATTGACAATAAAGCAAGAGCCTCCCTCTGGCGGATCCTGCCATGTGCCCCACTGGATGCTTTGGCGAGGATGCCGATTCGTTCCTGATCCAAGACCAAGCAACCCTGTACAGCCAAACTGCGATTCATTTCTGTGATGTGTTTTGTGTTCAGGAAAGAAAGGTGCAGGCTGAATATACAAGAGCTGAATTGTGTGTGCAGTACAACTGTGTGTGAATGAAGGAGAACACAGAATATGGCAGGATGCAAAATGCAGCATCTTTTTAAAAGGCAGGTTTCCAGTCCATATGCTTGGAATTGGGAAGGCAACGCCTGCTGAAATCCCACAGGCTGGGTAGCCTTCGGTTATGGAGCCCTTTACAGATCCTTCCCGTTGCTGGCAAATACACGAAGCCAGAAGAGAATCAGAATCAATTGCAGCTAATCAAGAGAAATGATCTAGCTTGTGCTGACACCCGCCCCCCCCGCCCCTCTGCTGGCGTCCCTCACAGTGGCCAAGTGAGTTCACAGCCCAGGAGTCCTGGCCCCTCCATCTGCCTGTTTGCGGTTGCGGAGTGGCTAGGAGGGACAGGGCACAACCGGAAGCTGCTGGAGGGAATTGGTGTGGCTGCCCCCCCACGAGGCATCTTGGACATTCTCCAAGCCAAACTTGCTGCTTCGGGGGCATGCAGGGGGTTAGCCGAGTTTCTGACATGGTCGATCGCTGCCCAGAAGCGGGCAGTGTGGGGGCAGCTGGAAGCCTTCAGAGAGGCACGCTGCTTGTGCCAGCAGCGTGAGAAGTGGCCGCACTCTGCCACACGGTGCTGCGGGGCATTTTTGTTTTCAAGGCCCGCAGCTGCTTGTCCTTGTGCGGTTTTGCTTCTGGGGCAGCTGGCTGTTGGGCAGTCGCTGCGTGCACAGGTGTGGCATCAAAGGAGCAGGTGCTTACAGGTCAAGTGTGGCTGTTCCCCGCGCACGGCAGCCCAGACGGGCAGCGTGCGAGCCCGATCTGGCCCCTGCAAACCGGCGTGAGGGAGCAGCAGGCTGGTTGTACCACGCAGGGCGGGCAGGGATGCCGTGAAACGCAGCCCGGACCTCGTCACCCCCATGGGGAGCAGGTGCAGCACCACTGGATTGGCACACACCTGTGTGGGAAGCACGGGCGCCCAGGAGGGGGGCAGGATCGTGGCTTGAGAAAAACTGCCCCGCGGGAGGGGTGGCGAGGCGCAACGGAGTGCTCTGCGCATGGCCTGCCCCGCTCTGATCTGCCACCCATTGGTGGTTCTGCCTCAACGTGGATGTCCCCGTATCCTCCAGTGCGCGCAGCTCTTTATGGATAATGCAGCGTCTTTCGGTGAGGGAATCGTGTCCAGGCCAGGCGCGTGGCCTTGGGAGAGGTGATCATTAACTGCTCATGGGCTGCCACGTCATCCACTCCTGACAGTCACCGCACGGGGCCTTCTCGCTCGCAGTCTCCATGGGGATGGAGACGCTCCGGGGTGAGCTCGGCTCGCTCCGCCTCCCGCCGTGCCGCTGAACTCTGCCAGGGCAAGAAGGGGTGGCGCAGGCAGGTTGCCTTCGTCTCGGAGGTCCTGGCAGCAGCCCGGAGGCAGGCCCTGGCCGCTGTCATGGGTGCCTGACCTGGGGCCATGCTCCAAATTCTCCACCCTCCCTATCTGTGGCCAGAGGAACGGGGATAATCCAGCAAGTTTTTCCAGGGGAAGAGATTTCCAAACAGTTTCTTGAAGGGAGAACTTGCCACTTGTACTGCAGGTAGCCCAGCTTTGCTTTCCCTGCAGGAGTTCAGTGTTTGTGCTGCCGCGGCAAGCGGAAACAGCAGCAAAAGTGCCGGCGGCCTGGCTCGACTTGGCATTCTTTGTCATGCCTCTCGCCTTGGGAGGAGGCGACCGCCTCCAAACTGGGGGGTGGGGGGGCATGGCAGGGGCCACAAGCATGTTTTCTTTCTGTTAAAGACCTTTTCATTGCTCCACACCTCCCTGGCTGCCCGCACTTCCTGATCCTCAGAAGCCCAATGGGGGGAGGCGCTTTGTGCTGCCTTCCCCTGGGCTTGGACTGCATTGCAAGAAGCCCAAGAGCTGGCAGACGGCCAGGGAGAGCGAGCAGTGGGCACTGGAACAGAGTGCATTGCCCACAAGCCTTGCCGTCTCCTTCGCCCAGTTAGCACAAGAGCACTGAATGCGAGCTGTGTGCACTTCTCGGAAAGTGCATCCTCCATCGGGTCGCTCTTCCAAAGCAATTCATTTCCGATCCACTGAATGAGAAGAGTAAACAGAAAGCAGAAGACCTTCCCGACACCAAGCTAGTTCTGCCGAGCTGCTGCGGCCTGCCCCACACCGCTGGGACCTGCAGAGAGCCAGTAAGTCGGCACCGAGGGACGGGACCCTCCGCCGGGAGAGCGGCGCCCGCTAGCGGGGCCACGGCAGAAGGACCTTTGCTGGAGCAAGACAGCCTCGCTCGCCGCCTGCAGGGGGCGCCTCGCTCCCACCGCCGCCGTGCGGGAGGCGTGAGGGCAGCACACGGGCACGGGAGGCAGCCCGAGGGAGGGGCCGGCCTGGAGTGAGCGTCCCGCCGCTGCTGGGATCGGGAGGGGCGGGGCTGCCCGCTGCCTGCCGTCGGGAGCACGCGGTGCCTGCGGGTCTTGCCCCCGTGCGGGTCGAGTGTGAGCGCGCGAGGCGTGGCCGTGGCCGTGGCTGCGGGCAGGCCCGCTTTGGACCTGGCCTCTGCAGGAGACGGGCCCCTCCCCAGCTTCCGGGGTGCTGGCGTCACAGTGGTGAGCGCCAGGAAGGGGCAGCATGCCCACAGAGGCAGGCTTCTGGCGGGTCAAGCGCAGCCCTTCCCACTTCCAGCGGTGGCGACAGACCCGGTTCGGGGATCATTGGGGCCTGTGCTTGATCAGACAGCGCCCCCTCGCCCCCTCTTGAGCGCTGTCCGCCGGCCAGCCTGCTCCGTACCCCGCTCGCTCGCAGGATGCCTGTGGCCTTGCTCTGGGCGGCCACTTTCCCCACCTCAAGCCCGGTCCCTGGGCTGACCTCGGCACGCCCCTGCCCCTGGTGGCGCCCCACTCCTGCCCCGCGTGCCAGCGCTGAGCCCCAAGGCGAGCCCTGAGGCAGGCAATGATCCAGCTGGTCCAGGACGCTGCAGCCGAACAGGCACGGGCCCCCTCAGCTTGTTCTTGCCCCCTGACACCAAGTGGGGTC